TTGGAAGATAAGACAGCAATAAACACATTCTTTTAATTGACAGTAGATAGTTTAAAAAAAGACCACACATACGAACACAAAAGCATAATAAAAGGTATGAATCCCAAATGGTACAAGCAACAAATAAATTTGTTGAAAGACTCACTGGGCGTTGGTGGTCAAGAAAGGTTTAATGGAGGCTGACCGTTGAGTAAAATCAAGTAAGTCAAGTCCAGGGCAAAGTTATTTTGTTGTTTTGATTGGAAGAGATGGTTGGAAGGGAGTGTGTTAACCAGATAAAGCCCATTTCTCAGCCAAATTAACATTTCACTAACATATATAAATTAAAAAAGGATGTAGTGGAGTTAATGAAGTTGTAGCTTGAACCAGAAAGTGATGATCATCAAATACGATCTGTAGTGTGGATTTTCATAGTAGGTGTAGATGTCTCAAGACCTTATGTTTCCCACCTTGCATTTCTATCAGGTATAAAAGTAGGGACTTGATGGAAAACAGGCATAGTCTTTTGTTTTTTGTTTTTTTAAACTGGGAGAGGGAAGTTAAGTTTGGTGGTTGCTGACCTTGGTCCTGAATGATAGCTAAACTACTATTTTTCTGAGACTTCGATTGGAATGAATTGTGCTGTGCTCTGGTGGCTGGACAGCAACCAGTTTAATACTGTGGGAGCTGCAGAATATTCTTGCTCACATCTATTAGTGGTTAAGAGTATGCGTTATGGGGCTAAATTACCTTGAGTGCAAATCTTGGCCCAGTCTTTTATTATCTGTGCAAGTTACTTCTGTGCCTTCATGTCCTTGTCTGTAAGACTTACGTATTTCAAGGGGTTGTTGTGAGAATTAAATGAATCAATCCATGTAAAGTGCTTGGAACAGTCACTGGTACATGAACGGTATAAACTTAGTCATTGTTATTATTGATATATATTTGCCTATACACTGTGGAGGGAATCCAAGAGAAAGGTGACTGGTGGTTGTGCTACATACTATGTTGTATGGTGTAATCAGTTCCATGCTGCTGCACACTAGTCAAGTTATTGATGATCAGTTTTCATCTTAAAAGAAACATTTATTTAACAACAGAAACTTAAGCATAGTCTAATGACTATATGGAATTTGTGAGATGTGATTCCAAGGAAGACTGTGTCTTGGAGAAATGAGTCTTGTAAAATTTTAGGCTTATAGTTTCTGTTCTAATGATTTGTACATAACATACATATTAAGTGTATGTGTGTTTCTAAGTATTTTAATGCCTTCATCTTTTTTTCCAGTAACAAAGCCTGAAATAAATCCCCAGTGTTTTTCAAGATTATTTAAAAGGATTTGTAATTACCGCTCAGCACCTAGGACAGCACCCAGTGCAACAATTTGTACATGAACTCTGGCTTGAGGTTTGGGGTTTGTGTTCTGGATTCGGGAAAGAAAAGAAGAGAACATTTTTGGGAAAGTTAACAATTCTCGTAAACACTCTAAAAGTATATGAAATGGAGGATGGTTTCATGGCTTTATTTCAAAATGTTTTACACTGGCTGTAGAACCCACTTCATGAAGTAGTTTGAGTTAAAATGATCTAATATTTGTGTTTTAACTTTCAGCTTTGTGTTATTCTTGGAAAATTTCGCACCACTTGTGAATTCCTTGAACCTGGGCATTGCAAACCCACTTCTGTTGGGCCCATCTCCTTTGCACTTTGCTCAGATTAAGACTCAGTTGGCGCTTCAGCAGCTGAATGCCGTTGCCTCACATAGTTCAACACCACCTTATACTTTATTAAATCAGGCTTTCTTGAAAATAGCCATGTCGAGACCCAGGTTTAATCCTCGAGGAAACTTTCCACTTCAGAGGCCACGAGCACCTAACCCTTCTGGGATGAGGCCTCCAGGACCATTTATGAGGCCTGGATCCATGGGTCTTCCAAGATTTTACCCAGCAGGGAGAGCCCGTGGAATTCCACACAGATTTGCTGGCCATGAATCTTATCAGAACATGGGACCACAGAGAATGAATGTTCAGGTAACTCAACACCGAACTGATCCAAGATTGACCAAAGAAAAACTGGATTTTCATGAAGCACAACAAAAGAAGGGGAAGCCTCATGGTAGCCGGTGGGATGATGAGCCTCATATATCTGCATCAGTGGGAGTGAAACAGAGTTCTATAACACAGGTTACAGAGCAGAGTCCTCAAGTTCAGAGCCGCTATACAAAAGAGAGTGCCTCAAGTATCTTAGCAAGTTTTGGATTATCTAATGAAGACTTAGAAGAACTCAGTCGCTATCCTGATGAACAGCTAACTCCTGAAAATATGCCATTAATTTTGAGGGATATAAGAATGAGAAAAATGGGGCGCCGATTACCCAATTTACCTTCTCAGAGCAGAAATAAAGAAACGCTTGGTAATGAGGCAGTTTCGAGTAATGTGATTGATTATGGGCATGCAAGCAAATATGGCTACACAGAAGATCCACTTGAAGTACGTATTTATGATCCTGAAATTCCAACAGATGAGGTCAAGAATGAATTTCGGTCACAGCAGAGCATTTCTGCCTCTGTTCCCACTCCAAATGTGATATGTAATTCTATGTTTCCTGTTGAAGATGTGTTTCGACAGATGGACTTCCCCAGTGAGTCCTCTAATAATCAGTCCTTTTTTCCAGTTGAGAGTGGAACTAAGATGTCAGGCTTACACATTTCAGGAGGACAGTCAGTCCTTGAACCTGTAAAACCCGTCAGTCAGTCCATTAGCCAAACAGTTAACCAGACAATGAATCAGTCTCTTATTCCTCCATCTATGAACCAGCAACCTTTTTCATCAGAATTAATTTCAGCTGTAAGCCAGCAAGAGCGGATCCCACATGAACCTGTGATTAATTCATCTAATGTACATGGATCAGGAGGAAATAAAAAGAATTACCAGTCAGAAGCTGACATTCCCATTCAGTCGCCCTTTGGGATTGTGAAAGCATCATGGTTACCAAAGTTTTCACATGCTGATGCCCAGAAGATGAAGAGACTTCCAACTCCCTCTATGATGAATGATTATTATGCAGCGTCTCCAAGAATATTTCCACATTTGTGTTCTCTGTGTAACGTAGAATGTAGTCATTTGAAGGTGAGTGTTTTTAAAGATCACTGTATAATTCAGCGCCCAAATTTCCTCTAAATTTTCATATTGTGCTGGTGTTAACTAGGCATTGAGGAAATGGCAGAAATTATTTGTGATTGCAACAACACCGCTTAGTTATAATCTGAGTAGCCCTGGCTACTGACTTGAGTGTTAGGCTTTCTGTATTCCTGTGACTGGCCACATAACATAGTTTGTCCATGTACTTTGAACTTTTGATTAGTTCTCTCAGAAAATTCAGTGCAACATAAAATTTATATAACAAACTGTGGACTTATAAAACAGTATCACATGAGTCAATTTTAAATAGAATCTGTTATAAAAATATAAAAAGTTGGAATAAAATATTTGTACTGCACACTTTTAAGAGATAGTATATCGTAGCCTTGCATGTATCTACCTGTCTTAGGCTAAAAGACAGTTAATGTTGATTTAAGTGTTTTCTGACTAGCTAGACTAGGATTTTTAGTGTTTCATGAGAAGGAGCGTCCTAAAATAACTTAATCCATAGCAAAATTGAGTCAAGAGTCATTATTTTGGGGTCAGTTGTCGGCTCAGAGAATAGTGTAAAATGGTAGAAATTTAGAGAGAAATACCTTATGGTCAGTATAATTAGAAGAATATTTTATGGAGGTGCTGAAGAGTAATGTAGAATAAATATACTCTTCGATAGTACAGTTGACTCTTGAACAGCTTGGGGGTGCCAACTCCTGCACAGTTGAAAGTCCAAATTGACTCCTTAAAAACTACTAATAGCCTGTTGACCGGAAGCCTTACCGACGACATAAGTAGTTGGTTAATACATTTTGTATGTTAGTAGTATTGTATACTGTATTCTTACAATAAAGTAAGCTAAAGAAAAGAAAATGTTAATTATCATGAGAAAATACATTTATGTGTACTGTAAAAATCTGTGTGTAAGTGGACCCGTGCACTTCAAACCTATGTTGTTCAAGGGTCAACTGTAATTGTTGGTGGATTTGTGTAGGGATTTTTCCAGTATGTTTTATTTACTTATATATATTTGGAAACTACTGTTTCTTTTGTTCACTAGTGTGATTTGTAGATCTACATTATAAATGGTCAGGAAGGAGTATACTTCCCATGGAATAAGCTTCGATTCAAGGCCATATCATTGGTTGTATGTATACTATGAATAGGCTTAAAACCTGTAGGTGTTTTAATTCTCTTTTTTTTCCTCCTTCCAGTGCTGCCCTTTTATTGTCTTTGTATTACCCACTCACCAGATTTCAGCTGATGCTTTTCTTAACTCTAGCATAGGAAAGCAGCATTCTTCCTCATTTTAGCCAAATTTGCTGAGTTCTAATAAAGTAATAGTTGCCTTCCCTATCAAGGGAGAATAGCCAAGTCTGGAAAAATCTCAGAATAATTTGTAGCACTTAGTCTTTAAATATTGCTGGCCTAAGTTCTGAATTGAGTAATAGACTCTCTGTATTCCATTTGAACTTTTAATTAGTCATGATGAATCCAAGAAAGGTATCTTAAAGTAAAGAACTTAAAGTTTTTACTTTGTAGAATGGAAAGGTATATGTTTATTCAGTAGGTATTTACTGATTACCAGTTTTCATACATGGCTATATTAGATGCTGGGCAGAAATGAGAGCTATATAAATGAAGACGTTGGTCTTAAGCAGTTTAAACAGTCTCATTGAAAAGAAAAATTACACACCTAAGGAATTTAAAAAATCAGAGGGCATCAAATGGTTCAGTGATTGCATTTAACTTGTTTTGGTATGCTGTAGGGGAGAGTTTTAATATTTCTATCTTGACTTCAGGCTTATATCCGTTCAGGCCAGCTTTATCAATTTATCAACACCTATTGTGTGTTTATCAGCATATAATTAAAAAGAAGTATAAATAATGCTCACTTTGGCAGCACTTACACTGAAATTGAATCAATACAGAGAAGATTAACATGGCCCGTGTGCAAGGATGACGTGAATTTGTGATATGTCCCATATTTTTTATAGTAAGTGTAGTTACCATCATCATCTCATACAGATAAAAAGAGAAAGCAAAAAAAAAAGTATAAATGTACTTCTGACATCAAAAGACTAGTTGGATAAGATTGAGTGACAGTGACTTACTGTATTGAGTCTGGCCTGGAAGGATTTGGGAGGGAAGACTTCATGGAGTCGGTTAAATACGGGTCTTGAATAATGAGTAGGCTTCAGATATACCTAGGGGTGGAGGGATGACATTTCAGATGTCAGCAGTAACAGTAGGTACCAAGGGTCTTCAAAAGCTTAGCTTAAGGAGTTTAGATTGTGGTGAGAGGCATTAGGAAGCTAATTAAGGTTTTTGATATGTGAAGTGACATGTTCAAAGTGTATTTTAGGGAGATAAATCTGGCAGATGTATGCAGGATGAATAGGCATGAGAAGAGATACAGTAGGGCACTGAGTATGAGGCTTCCCTAGTTCCTTCAAGTGTAAGATGGTGAAAGTCTGGGTTAATATGATAAAGGAAAACTTAAGAAATCATCAGTGATTCATTAGAGTTCTCAGAGATTGCCATTTAAAACAGAAAATACCTTTTTTAACAGAACAGCATAATGGATATAACTAATGAATTCTTCACTACTGGATGACCACACGATAGGGATTTGTGAACATGGACTTAGATGGTACAAACTACCTCGCTTGTTTCTGTGTGATGTATCTTACTGCCTTGTAAATGTGCATATATATATGACCTTGTAAACAATGTAGCCAATAAATGTAAATTACCAATTACAATTTTTTTTTTTTGCTAAATGACAGTTGACAAATATGTTCCCCACCGCTGAATCTTTTAAAACTATAGCCTGAAAAAGGCAATAGTAGAATGTGAAATGTATTTCTTTTCTCCATTGGTATTCAGATGTCAGAGGAGCTGTGCTTGGTTTAGAAGTTATGTCTTTTTGGTTGTCCTCAGTTTAGAAGCTGTCTTTCTGGCTGAAATAATTCAGTTTGAGAAAATATTAATTGACATAAAAGATTTTTGAGGTAGTTGGAGGATAGAGTGAACTCTTATGTGGGTAGGTATTTTCACAGTTTCATTCTGGGCCTACTCAACTCTATAGTCTTAGAGCATTTCCTGCTTAGTAGGGGTAATTATCACTTTTTCTCTGGAGAGGCAGTACTGCTTTTGGACCCTTGTTATCTAATCTGGATACTGTTACTAGAGAGTCTAGAAATTGGGGTGGCATGGGTATATTTACTGAGCTTAAAGCAAGTGATATCAGTGAGTGAAGTGGGCCTGTTAAATAGTACAGTGTGTGTGTGTGTGTGTACATGTATATATATGTACACGTGTGTGTATATACACATATATATGTATGTATATGAATGTATATGTAGGACTGGAGAGTATGCCTTAAATAGGGCAGCTATCAGCATCAGTTGATAGTTGCTATACAGAACACGTGCAATATTGTTTTCTCAAGAAAAGCTGGAAGTCTGGATTTGGGGGTAAAATCACTGGATTTTTAAATGATGGCAACTTATTTGAGTAAAATGCTTTATGGTCTAAATAAATCATGCCCAACCCACTATTTGCCAGTGTGTCTGTTTGATGTAAACAATGTCCAGTTAATGTCAAAGACATGGGTTCAGCAGTACTAGAGACTCTTAACTGCCAATCTCTTCTAGCTTTCTATTTGTAGCATTGAGCGGGATATGCAGACATTTCTTTTTTGCAATCCACAGTCAGTTCCGTGGCTTAATGAAATAGTTTAGGGTTTTTCATAACCTGTTGCTGAGTATTGCCAGTAGCATGCACTTGTCTTCAGATAGTTCTTGACGAGGCAGATTCCAAAATCAGTGTCAGCCGTGGTTTTTAACTGTGGAAACTTCTAGTTTGTAGCAGTGACATACTAAAAATATTTTTGAAATGGAAATGAATAACATTTTCGTCAGGAACATTTTAAAATACAGAACTGTTGAGTAAGTTTTTTACCTATCCAAATGCTGGAGAAACAATAAAACATTGAGTAATAATACACATTGCTTTTAACTGTTTCACTGGGGTGACTGTATTTTTGAAAACTGTACGTTGTCTTTTTTAAAAATTTTAATCAGATGTATCTTCCAGGAGCTATTTATGGGTACAGATTGTAATTTTAGGGCAGATTTGTAAATGAAGTAATGTATTGAAAAAGCATTTTGTTCATTGTAAAGCTCTATGTAAGGGATATTGTGTCTTTGAAATGGTGTTACTTTCCCTTAAATCCTGAAAATAAATTAGATTAAATCAGCAGCAGTTTTTCATATTTTTACTAATCTTATCTTTGTCAATATAGTGGGTACCTTGTTTGGAATGGTACTGGCCTAAGAGGTAGGATTTTTTGTTGTTGATGTTGTTAGCTTGAATTTAGAGATAAAAGTCATTGACACTATATTTTGAAGATGCTATTGCAGATACCATTTTATTTATAGAGTTTTTGGTGTTCTCTGGAGTACTTTTATATGTAAGGTGAATTATTTCTGATCAATGCTTTTATTTTTTCCAAGTTTAAATACATATTTGATTTCAAAATTATCCACGGGTATGATTTTTTAAATGTTTTTATACTAAAATGTTTCAAAATGGCATCAATAAGGTCTGGTATTAAGGACCTTTGGAGGTGCTTTATTTTCGTGAAATATTATTGAGTAGTCAAATGTTACTTACAACTAAATTTGTTATAAAAGCCTAATTTCATTAGTCAATGTGAGGAATATTCTAATTTCAGCACTTTTCTCCTTTCACAATAGGATTGGATTCAGCATCAAAATACATCTACTCATATTGAGAGTTGCCGCCAGTTACGTCAACAGTAAGAACAAGTTTTTCTTTTTTATAGGTAGCAAATTTACAAAATAGTTAATGTTCTCAATGACTGTTAAATACTTTTAGTGTGGTACTTCAGAGAAAAATATTTTTAGAAAGCTGTTGCCTATTTGAAATATTTTATGAAGTATATTTAATCTTTTCCCAAAAGGAAAGAATTAAATATGATCTTTTCTTCTGACTCCTAATTATTTCCAGTAGGTAGACTTTTAGTGTCATGGGTTCATTTCCTTGCTGGCTTGCCTTCCTTGCAATGGTTTATCTATTTTAGAGTAGATAGTCTTCCTTTCTCCTATCTGCGCCACTTTCCCAAAGGATAAATAACTAAAAACTACCCCAAACCAAACACCAGTATTTAATTTCAGGTGTAAAGCTCTCCTCTGGTTTAGAACCTGTTTTAAGAATAAACCTTAGGGGCACCTGTGTGGTTCAGTCAGTTAAGTGCTCTTGGTTTCGGCTCAGGTCATTAGATTGAGCCCCGTGGCAGCTCAGTGCGGAGTCTGCTTGGGATTCTTTCCCCCTTCTTTTCCTTCCCCACCAGCTCCTTCCCCTGCTTGCTTGCTAACGCATGTGTGCTCTCTCTTTCTCTCAAATAAATAGATAAATCTTAAAAAAAAAAAAAAAAAGAATAAACCTTAAGTGGGAGATAAACAAGCTAGATGTGTTGGTTCCTCAATATTGGTTTTTCAGTTTTTCAACCTTTTGCTTTTTTAAGACAGACACCTATGAAAGTGAAAAGTGTGACTTTAACAGGAATCTCATATATCCCTTGGAGTAACAAAATTAAATTGTATTCCCCCTACTCATTAAACATGATACAGTTGTGTGTCAAGTTACTGGTCACTAGACTGATGAGTAACGTGTTTGGGGGCAAATGATTTTGTCACGGCTGTTTTGGGTTTTGGTTTTGTTCTTTATGAAAACATCACCAAAATTTTTTGAGATTATTCAGGACTCTTCACTCATAAGTGATAAACTTAATTCAAAGGAGTTTTTAGTTTTTATTTTATTTTAATTTTTTTAAGATTTGATTTATTTATTTTAGAGCCAGCAAGGGCGGGCAGGACCTTGAGCAGGGGAGGAGCAGATGGGGGAGCAGAGAGGGAGGGAGAAGGAAGGGAAAGAATCTTGACCAGACTTTACACTGAACATGGAGCTCGATGCAGGGCTCCATCTCATGACCCTGAGATCATGACCTGAGCTGAAACCGAGTCTTGACGCTTAAGTGGCTGCACCACCCAGGCACCCCAAAGTCGTTTTTTTTTTTTTTAAAGATTTTATTTATTTATTTGACAGAGACAGAGATAGCGAGAGCAGGAACACAAGCAGGGGGAGTAGGAGAGGGAGAGCAGGCTTCCTGCTGAGGAGGGAGCCCAATGTGGGACTCGATCCCAGAACCCTGGGATCATGACCTGAGCCGAAGGCAGACGCTTAACGACTGAGCCACCCAGGTGCCCTGAAGTCGTTTTTAAAGCAAGGGAATTTATTAGTTTATTTAACTGGGAAGCATAAGTGATTCTAATGTCAGGAACAGCTGAATTGGATTCTTTTTTTTTTAAATATTTATTTGAGAGAGTGAAAATGAGAGAGAGAGAGAGAGTACATGAGAGGGGGGAGGGTCAGAGGGAGAAGTAGACTCCCCGCTGAGCAGGGAGCCCGATGCGGGACTCGATCCCAGGAGTCCGGGATCATGACCTGAGCCGAAGGCAGTCGCTCAACCAACTGAGCCATCCAGGCGCCCCTGAATTGGATTCTGAAACAAAAATCAGAGTAGTGAGAAATTGTTTCTTGGCTCTTTGTTCTCTTCTGCTTTGGCCTCGTGAGATCCCAGGTGCACTTCCCCCACAAAGCAAAATGACCCCCGTAATTCTGGACTTAAATGAACTGTGTAGTTAGTAATTCCAGGAGTTCAAAACAAAGACAACAAAAAACCCTCTTTCCTCATAACTCCTGTATAAGTCCAAGGTTTGACTCTTCTTTGGTCCATCTTGAAATCAGTTATAATAGCTGTGAGAATTGGGTACTCGACCTGTGTTGGTGTCATGTGCCTGCTCCTGCTGTGGATAATAAGCCCTGCCTGAATCATACAGACTCTGAATAGAGATAGAGTTTTTCCCTACATAGATGCTGTGCAGACATAGGTTATTATATGG